TGATGCACTCAATCCATTCAAACCGGGATTGTACGTCTAAGTAAAACGTCCCGTGTATCCAAGGTGAAGGGAAGTTGACTCGACAAAACCGACCCATTGATATAAGTGCTTTGGTAGGGCATGGAATGTGTACCTCGCGACTAGGGGGAAGACTAGATATTTGGTTGTGCATTTGCTGACCCGTGGACAGTTGATTTAGGCTGATCCGAAAACGTAGCAGTTACAAAATGGCTCGAAAAAGAGAATAGATTTAGTCGAGAGAAAGAATTTTGTCATATCGACTCGACCATGGTAGCAGAGGTGCAAAAGTAACTCGCGATGTTGGGTTTTAACAATCGAAATTTGCTGACGTTCACCATATTAACCTATTGCTGCTTTCATGGGCTCAATTAGGCCACTGGATGCGATTTTGTAAAAAGTGGAGGATGGTGTTAACAGGCCACGCATATAGGCTGCGTATCGATTATTTCATTCAATGGTAAAGTATGACATGCGGTAGGACGCAAAAGCAAAAAGTAACAATGAATCTTTGTTCTAACAATTTCTTGCTCTGGCCGTCGCATAGGAGAAGCAACGGTGCCCCAACTCCTGCATCGAGCAGGGTGGACACGGGTATGGATGCTACTGCTCAAGCCTCCCCATCTTCTTATCCCCCTTCTTGCGCTTCTTCATCCTTATGGTCCCGCTCCAACTTCACTTTTATCCCCCCAGTTTCAATCCCCCAACAACTGGTCCTCCCCCACCTTGCTTCAATAGTCCCTTGTCTTCTAGTTGCAACTTACACACACTCGCAGAGCGTCGCTTCAACCCAGCCGACAAATCCATGTTCAACCAACCGGGTAACGTTAGGTTTTCCGTTTTCCGTGCTGTTTATCAGAAACCCGCCTGCAAGATTCGAGCTCCGTGCTTACCCTACGATTCCCACTGCGACACTGGCGCACATTCTCAAGGCGCTTGTCTGGCGATGATGCAGCTTCAAATGCCGGCCAAGCTGGCATCGGCATCGTTTTGAGTCTCTGAGCTGAGACTGCTCTGATCGATTGGATCCCAGTAAACAGTAGGATGTGCGCCGTTAGATTAGCTGGTTCGTTCCATGCTCCGAAGTCGCGCGAGAACAAACCGTGCCTGTTTGTCATGGCTGCCTAAGCCCCTACAAACTGTAACACTGACTTCTATCACCAAATTAACGTTCTCCTTCGTTACAGAAGAAGCACGGATACTGTGGTGATGGCTGGTGATCTAAACGCCCAAGTCGGAAAATTGACCTCTGGTGAACTTCATCTGAACTGTCGACGTGGTGTAGGCTCCTTTAATGATAACGGTGAGCGATTGCTACAGCCATATGAAGATGCTCGTCTCTTTCTCGCGAGCAAAAACTTTCGACACAGCATCCGCAGAAAAGTGACTTGGCGCCCATCAGCCTTGCACCAGCCATGGACACAAATCCATCACATCGCGATCAGTTACCGCGGGAGAGGCTGTGTCCAAATCTGTCGATCGATTTGTAACACGAACGTGGACTCTGACCACGCACTGGTTTGCGCTGACCTGCGGGTGCGTTTCGGTGGACGTCCACGAAGTCGATCTGAACCGATTGACACCAGCCAGTTGCCGAAGCTGTGTTCTGATTGCGTATAAACTACGCTGGCATTCTGGCTGAGTAAGCGCTCACTGAACACCGCCGAAGATAACTAGTTGCATATTCGCCAAACGTTACTATCAGCAGGCATATTTTTATGTGGCACATCAAATTGCCACATTGGACATTGGGTCTCTACACAGTCTCTGAAACTTGCGGATGCTAGCCGGCACATTCCGGCTGAAGGCGAACACAATGAGACCCGTAAAAATCTCAGGGTAAAATTACGTGCTAGGCTGAAGACAGCCCGCGAAGTCTGGTGGTCTCATTGTGCCTAGGAGATTAAAAGAGCCGCTGCCGTTGGTATTCCGTCTGATAAGGGAAACAAGCAACAGGAGACCTGGTGTTAGCGAGACCATACGCGACGACAGTGGACAGCCGATCCACAGCCTGTCAAAACGCTTGGAGCGTTGGGTCGAAGACTTTGCAAGGCCAATTTAACCAATCTGAGTTATCGCTTTCTATTTCGGGCATTGAGCGCCCTTCTCCCTAGGCCGTCTCCCTGGATCGGCCATCACGCGCAGAAGTCAAACTTGAGATCAGGCTGCATAAGGCCGCTGGTGCAGATAAAATTCCCCCAGCTCTCTACAAATTCGGGGGACCTGCTATAGTAGATGCTTTACACGAGTTGCTAATGGAACTTTGGGCGCAGGAAACTGTCCCGACAGACTGGAACCGCTCCGTCATAGTCCCAATTTTCAAGTGAGGCTCCCGTTCGGAATGCGGCAACCATATAGGGATCAGTCTGATCTCAATTGCCTCTAAATTGCTGGCCTCTGTCGTTCTCCACCGACTGACTGGCAGTCGGGGAGGCCAGATCCGATAAGAGCAAGCCGGGTTTCGTTGAAATCGAGGCTACATCGACTAAATCTTCTCTTTGCGTCAATTGCTGGAGCATCGCCATTTTTATTGGCGACCCAACGTTGTCATGTTTCTCGACATGAAAAGTGCCTTCGATTCAGTGGATCGGCGTGCCCTTTGGGACTGTTTGCTGAGAAAAGGTGTGCCCGATAAGTACGTAAACATTATCAAAGCGCTGTAAGCGCGCAGTTTGGTCAGAGTGAGGATTTATGGCAAACTATCGCCGCACTTCAGTATCATCAGCGGTGTGAGACAAGGCTACCCGCTGTCACCTTTCCTCTTCAACTTTACAGTTGACGAAGTCATGGAAACAGCATTCGCTGAACACGACCTAGAAGGTGTGGAGTTACTTCCTGGTGAACGACTTCTTGATTTGGAGTATATGGACGATATTGCCCTAAACTGTGACAGATTAGCACTACTGTCCATCGTTTTGGGTTATGCTTTGCTTCATCGAAAAGCAGTCTTTCTCCAAGCTTGGCATGGACGCACCGCTGCGCTGACACTTTGTGGTGATCAGCTAGTAATTCAGGAATTCAAGTACCTGGGCAGCTATATTAGCGCCCGTAGGATCCAAGTTGTGGTTACGAACTGTATAGCAAAAGCTCGAGGTGCTTTTGCCAATCTCCGCCACCTGTGGCGCAGACGCGACATTCGCCCTGAAGGGCAGAGTTTATAACACAGCCGTCCGTTTAACCCTCCTATACGGTACTGAAACCTGGCCCGTCAGGTCGACTGACATAAAGATACTCGTCACGCTCGATCACCGCTGCCTTCGCAGCTTGGCTCATGTCTGGTGGGAGCACCGCGTGAGCAATGAGTGTGTTCGGCGTCGCGTATTTTGTGCAGGAAGAGTTAGAGCACCATTATATCACGCACCAGGCTTCCATGGTTGGATCACGTGTTACGCATGCCATCACACCGACTTCCGCGATGTGCATTGTTTGCGCGCAGGGGATGCGGTTGGAAGGAAGTGGGGTGGCCAAGCGATGACTTGGGTGAGAAAAATGAAAACTCACTTCGAAGTTGGCGTCGGTTGGTGCATCTCGATTGCCTGACTGGGGTTCCAAAAAACGATGAACACGTTTGATTGGACACACTTGCTGATATGGCTAGGAGCAGGCCCCAATGACGCTTATGTTGTGAGTTTCTTTGTCCACCCCTTCCCCTTTAGATTTCCCCTCCTTAATCCCGATCTCATACAAAACGCATAATATAATATTTAACTTCATATTACTTGCTTGAAAGCTTTTATGTGGGGTTATTTTTTAGTCTCATCGTTTTGTATTGCGGCACATTAGTTGAGGTGTGTTTCTCACTCTGCTAACGCGTACTGAGGATATTGATGATGACCAATGTAACTACAATGCGTAGTGGGTGGATGACCAGTAATTTTGCTCTAAAGGAGACGTGTCGTAAGTAGACGGCTGTTGTGCTCTTTCGGGACACGAGAGCATTCCGTAGTGCAGTGAGGGATTGGAAACAGCAACGCAACACCTGAAAGCAGTAGCTTGGGACTCTGAGACACGACGGATAAGAAAACCAAATTGTTGAGGCCACAGGTTGCGACGTGCAGCTCACTTTCCAATGATTTGCACTTCAATGTCGTACAAATGGACAAAGTAGAACGACAAAACAGTCGAAAGTTTAAAATGTCAGTTAGTCGATGGCACTTTTTCTTTGAGTGCATTCAAGATCATCATCATCATCAACAGCAGTACATCAGCCATTTGAACTGATGCTTCGCTGCCATACAACCATGAGGACTTATGAAATAAAGACTAAGAAGAGGGAGAGAAGGGGGACTTACCTGAAAACCTTAATGCCCTAAGCAAACATTCAGGGTCAAGGCGCCTACACCTTGTGTAGACAACATTCCGTCACAAACAGCTGGCTATCGTGCAAAGATGAAGATCGACAAAAGGAAAAATAGTTGGTGACTAAAACACAATCTCTTATCAGCTGGAATACTACCAAGTGGATGATGTAAACAAGAGTGGGGTGGTTTGACTGCCGATAAAAGCATAGATGAACAAACCACTTAGATCAGCAAATATCTATAAAACTGCAACTATGTCCCGAGCTACGATCGGTATAAACAGAGACAAAACTGAGCATGCAGCGCAGTGTCGAGCAAACAGAAGCGAAAATGTCGCTACTACACCGATGAGCATGGTGCTAGACTTGGTCGCATCTCGTCTCGAATTAAATCACGGTGTCAGATGAGAGTGCGTGCCTCTATGCAGCTATACATCGAACAATCCGAGTTTGTCGAGGAAATCCCAGCCGTTGGCAAGAACTTTGCTTGCGTCGTCAAATTCAACGAGCAATCGATTGGCTTTTGTTTTCCGAAGAAAATACGAACAGATGACTTGATACGGCGAGGAGATTGGATGGGAATCCAACGTTCGATACGTCTGTGTTACAGAAAAAGCTGGCCACACCAAAACCCGATGCCAAAGAGGGGAAAAAAGTTAAAAGACGAAAAGACACAACTTACCGATGTTAGAGCTAAATTTTCGTGAAAAGCATTCCAACAGGTTTGATCAATGTCAAATGGTTTTGATGTCTGTAAGATAGACAGATGCGAAGTATGTTGAATGAACAAAACGGATAAAATAGTTCTAGTAGACTCTAATGACGAATGAACATAAGTTGCTGTGAAAGTGACAGCCGTGGAAAGTCCATGTGAAAGGATACACTTGCCACGAACTGTACCGAGCGACAGTAATCGTGATAAAGCAACGAACTACAGTCGCCAAGAAGTCATTTGTACGAACGAAGCTGTGCTCATGCTGGTTCATTCGCTACTGTTCAGACTACTTACTTCATGAACGAACTACGGTGGGTATTCTCCATCGGTACCACCAAACGACACCACACAGTCAAGACAAGGATAATGATGATGGCTATCGTCACTCATTGTCAACACTCTATTACACTAAGGTGGATCTATCTCATGTAAAGAAGAGCTGCCGACACGACAATTGAGGGAAAGATGAGTGCCATGACCGTTTCACGGATACGAGCCCGTGGGTTGATTGCGCGGTGGGGGCATCAACTTTGCAGGTACATTATTTGATGAAAATATCACCCGCTATTTGGATGAAGCACATCCCGATCGAAATTAAGACTTACGAGGAGAGGTCAATAAGGCGGCTATGAAATAAAGCCGGTCTACAGAATTCCACCTAAGAGGACGGTATGTACAAGTTGACCTGTGTCTCGATTAATCTCGTCGTACGTAAATACTTCATGATTCTATATATAAAAAGAGGCGAGAAACACCCCAGTAATTGTGTCGCACACAACGCAGTTAAGTAGTAGTAACAAGAAAAATACAAAGCAAAACAACAAATAGTACTATGTTTGAGTTCAGAGAGGTTTGGAAACAATCGGTTGGTATAGTAACTTCGTTATCGGCCCGGTTCGCTATAAAATCCCACACCAATTGCACACTGATTCACCTGGTCTGACGAAACCTTTATGTTAAAGGCGAAACGTTACCAAAATACTATACCAACCGATTGTTTCCAAACCTCTCTGAACTCATGACTACTCGATCGGTTCCAAGTATCTTTCAAGAATTTGAAGTACTATGTTTGCTTTGCGTCAGGCATAAAAGAGATCGTGATTGATGGCGGAAACTAAGAAGAAAAAACTCAAAACACAAAGGACATTGCATCGTAGAAGCTACCCTTCAATGCGCCTGCGCCACAAATGGCGAAGGTTAGCTAAAGCACCTAGAGCACTTATTATAAGACACGTGATCTCATCTCAGATCCCACAGGAACTGGCACAGCTGCCGAGGCAGTTGAAGTTGCATACTAGTTTTACCTGCTCACCACCAAGGGTCAACACATACAGCAAACCCTGCCAATCTTGGACGATTGCATTTCGATGATGCAAAGCATAGCCAGAAACGGCTAACAGTTATTACTAATAGGTCCAGAGTCGCTTCGCATATCTGTGAGCTGTCACAGATAATGACGATATCGTCGGCACACTCCAAGTCAAGAAGTTGGCCACCTTCATTACACTAGGTAGTGCCCGGTGAGCGGTTTCCATGAATTCGCGATGGCGAAGTTAAAAAAGAATGGTGACAGCAGGCATCTCTGTTTCACACCGCTGGAAATATTGAACGGCGGTGACAGTCTGACAGAAGTCTTACTCTCCCCGGACTACGCGAGTAAAGCGCACTGAAAATGATTAAAAATTTCTCGGGCACACTTTTTATCCCCAAATAGTCTCAAAGAGTACATCGATCCACCGAGGAACACGACCACGGTAGATCACAAACATAAGTGGCGGTGCTTCAAAAACTGACATAAAGTGAAGATATGGTCAATGCAGCCTCGACTTCGACAAACCTGGCATTCATTCCCAGAATCCAGCTTTCACGACCGCAATCAGGCTGTAATAAAGGACAGAGGCAAGCAGCCGGTTTCCTTCAAGACTGCCGAATCGCGAACGTGAGGTACTCTTGAATATCGGGATAATAATGGACCTGCTCCAGTCGACTAGGAATATTTTCTGCTCCCACAACTTCATTAAGAGATTGTGTAATCCATCTACAAGAGTAGGTCCCCGAATTTGAAGAGCTAGAGAAAAATAATCTGGTACCGCGGCATTATGCAAGTTCAGCAGTTTGACCTTATGCACGACTTCTGAGCGAGCGGGTGGATCCAAAGGGATAGTCAAGAGAGCAGGACGATCAAAGACCGGTAGCAAATCTAGTAATTCCGGCCGATCAAACGGTTTTACGAAACGTTCGTCCCGGCGCTTCAAACGTTTTCATAGGCTGTGGACAGGTTGTCCAATCTCGTCGCATACAGCTTCGCCGAAACCAGGTCTCCTGCAGCCCGTTTCCCGTATCAGGCGGAATAACTTCCGATGGTTATTAAAGACAGCGGCTGTTTACCTCTCCGACACACGATGAGACCACCAGGCTTCGCGGTCTCTCCTCAGATCAGCACGCAGTTTCGCCATGACATCATTGCGAGTCGCGTTTTGTTCGTTCCTAGACGGAATGTGCCAACGAACATCCAGAAGTTCCAGAGTGCGCAGAGACCTAATGTCCTGGTTGGCAGTCAGAGTTATCAAATGAAGACAAGCTTGCTGCTAATAACGTCTGGTGAACAGGCGACCAAATAATTTCAACTGTGCTCAATATTTAAATTGTGAATGACGACATAAAAAGCAGGACATTACAAGACTCAAAGGATAGTGAAAGGAAAAGAAAATTAAAACCAAACTGTTCCGGTGTAGAACGTGCATTTTCAGTAATCTATGCCTTGCACTTTACCATACTGTTGTGAAGCGTTTGTCAAACAGATGCAAGTCTAATAGCCTTTCAAATGTGGCGATGTTAGGTGCACTCACCACATATGCTAGCAATGCATTCTAGTGTGAAAAGATTCTAAGAGAATAAAAATACTTTCTACAATCCAAACTGGAGCGTTGAGTCAGTAGTTTCTGGTGACGTCCTCGGCATTGTTTGTAAGAGACTAGAGGATTAGGAGTGATTTACATGCATGATCGTAGTTGAAAATAAGATTGCCGCGAAGTTGTTAATGTTCTGAGGTGCATTTAATAGTGCATTTAAAAGAACAAGAACAAAAAATATTTCTGCATGTATTCTCTTCAGCCGCTTACATACAATGGGTGAAAATTTCAAACGGTTTGGACTAATAAGTCATGTAAGATGCCTAGATATCGTCTGCCAGAGAGAATAACAGAAAGCAGTGGGCTATACGGAAACAATTGCTTTCAATTACTTCTTCAGGTGCATACAGTAATAAGCGTAGGTAAACTGTTAAGTTTCATTCGTTAGCAGAAAAATAGTAACAACTGATTGCTCATTTAAAGTGATCAAAGTGCAAAATGACTGATCATGTGATTGAAGACTCGTGATTCTGCTGGTTATGTCCAGTAGTTGGACATAGTACCTTCAAAGACTGCACCATTCTCTTTTGCATGCATAGGTCGGGGTTCGTTAACCGCATGCATTACCGCCTCCGCAATAGCAAGCAGCCTGAAGTAGTAATTGAAAAAAGCGTTTGCGTACAGCTCACCATTTTCTGTTATTCTCTTTGGGAGTAATAGATCAAAATCAGCAATCGATGGTTAGTTGTGTTGGCTAGCCTATTTTACCTCACCAAGACAAAGCAAGATTGGCCACAAACTCAAGTTGTTTGCATAGGCTAGGCTTCAAGCGCCGGATGGCGGAAGCATCAGCAAAACGCAACAACTTGGGGTTGATGACCTTGAATGTTTCGCGGACATTTCATAGCTGACCGGATAGTCCACGTGTTGGCTTGGTGGATCTTCTTTGGGATTGTTTCACGAAATGAATGTATCGCTTTAAGCATGGACGCCAGGCCTGAACAGCATACTCAACACTGGGACGAAAAGACGAGTTAATCAGCAGAGGTACTAGACGTCGCTAAAGGCAACAAGAGCACGCCTCAAAAGCCTGAAGTTCAAGTTCGGTACATTTGTTGCCCTCGAATGGTCCAGACTTTACTGCAAGTATCTTTTACTAGTAACGTGTTGCAGGAAGTGCTGTCCCAGAAGCTGTCTGCTGTTGAAGCTGCTAAGCATCGTTAGCAGGTGGCATTTGGCAGGGATCATTGAGAATTGATTCATTCTTCTCCATTCGTAAACCTGGTCCAGATCACTCTGGAAATAGGCACGGTCGAATGTCAAGAGAATATCCGTCCAGATCTGAGCATCCTCTGCAAATAGTTGCGTCAGACTGAATATTTGCTGGGAGGTCATTAGTATAGACTAAAAATAGTAGCGGACCGAGGACGGATCCTTGCGGCACACCCTCTGGAGACCTGTATGCTTTCGGAGTGGGTTTCGGAGATTCTTACCTTGATTGTTCCGACGTGTGGGTAACCTTCCAACAAGGTGGACAGACAACCATTGATACAGTGGGCACCAAACTTTCGTATAACTAAGTGAGTGTTTCTGTTGAATGCTTTATAAATGTTTACATAAATCACATCCAAGGGATCCTTCGTCAGCCACCCTGACCTTTGAGTCCCGAGAAAGAAGCAGATTAGTGAGATAAGATGGTCTGCAACTGAAACCATGTTGGACATGGGAAATGATCTGCTGACGTTCAAAATATCGAGTAAGTTCATCTGCGATTATCGACTCAGTTTTGATAGAACAGGAAGCAGAGTAATAGGTCGATAGTTGGCATAGTACGATGGCTTGCCTCCTTTATATATCAGAGTAATGATTCCACGTTACCACAGAGACGGGAGTGCATGGAAGCCAAATAGATGCCCAAAAAACTCTGCAAGATGTACTGGTATGGTGGGGTCAAGAATTTTGAAGACATTTGGACATGTTCCATCGATTCCCGGGGCACTGTTTCCCCAGAGAGATTGTAATTTGCTTACGATAGCTGCTGTGGTAAAGGTGACTCTGGCCAAGCCCACGATATTTGTTGAGAGGTGAAAGGGTAAAGGTTTCCTAGTGTTTGTAGCCAATGAACCAAACTGCAGTTCAAGAAACATGTTTGTCAGAAATGTCACAAGTGTGGACACAAGGAAACGCAATGCCGATACAGACTTTCGCCCTGGCCAGTTCATAATGTTAGAAAGAAAATTTATGGTTCTTTTCCAAAAAGGGTAAGTGACAGCTTTTCCATTCATATTAAGAATATGAGAAAATAAATCACTATCGATACCAACGGGAGACAAGCGCATCCGCAAATCGACACGGCCTCTGATATCAAAGTAATTTCGGAGACGCTGTGGAGAAGTGTCGGGTCATGCGACATCAAACCGACCACACAACAAGCGAAAAGCGCATCAGGTGCGAAATTGAAGCTGCTTTGTTGAATTAAGTGTGAGTGTCGCTTCGCGGATTATACTGCATGGGAAACAATTTTTGTCACAAGCCACAACTTGAACCTCATGGGGCTGGATTGGATTGAACGTTTTAACCTTCTGGACGTGCCGATAAATCAGATTTGTGCAAGCGTCAAACTATACAATCCAAACTCCCCGAAAACATTGGCTAATGAACGATTTAAGGAGAATTACCGAGCTGTCTTTTGTGAAGGAATCGGTAAGTGCACTAAAGTTCTTGCTTTTTTGCCTCTAAAACCTAATACCGTAACGATATTTCGCACTAGACGCCCAGTGCCTTATGCCGTAATTCCAATTATTGACCATGTGCTAGATCGCTTAGAGACAACTGGCGTTATTTGTGCAGTTACTTACTCCTCCTCGTGGTTAGGAAACCTAATGGGCAAATAAGGATATGCGCTGACTTCTAAACACGTTTGAATAACTTACTGAACAGCCACCAGTATGGCTTGCCAATTCCTGATGACATGTTTGCTAAACTGAACGGCGGTAAATGTTTTGCAAAGTTAGACATATCAGATGCATAGTTTCAAATCGAAGTTGATGAAGCCTCCAGAGAGTTGCTTACAATAAACACGTACAGAGGTCTGTAGCAATATCATCGGCTCCCATTCGGTGTCAAAACCGCACAAGCCATATTTCAACAAATCATGGACACCATGTTAACGGATATCCATGGCGCTGCCGCATACTTGGATGACATTATTGGTGTTGGCATGAGTGTAGATGACCTTTTCAAAAAGCTGGATCGAGTCCTTGGTCGTATTCAAGAGTATGGTTTTAGACTCCCTTCTGAAAAGCGCACATTTTTCATGGACTCAATTACGTTTCTCGAGTTCATTATTGACAAACACGGTAGACGTCCTAATATAGCACACATCAAAGTCATTAAGAAAATGACTCCTCCTAAAGGCGTTTCAATACTGAGATCATTCTTAAGTCTTATCAGTCATCATGGTCAATTTCTTCCGCAGATGTACCGTATGCGTGGTCCACTTAACGAGCTTCTAGACAAATATAAACGCTGGTATTGGTCCGAAGGATGCCATATATCATTTGAAAAGATAAAAAAGATGTTATGTTCTGACCTACTGCTAACACACTACGACCCAACCTAGAAAATTGTACTTGGTACAGATGCTTCGAACTACTGTGCTGGGGTAGTTATTTCTCACAAGTTCGCAGATGGTCCAGAGAAAGCTATTGCACACGCAGCCAGGTCGTTAACCCCAGTAGAATAAAATTACAGTCAGATAGAAAAGGGGGCTCTGGCGATTGTCTTTGTGATAAAGAAATCCCGGAAAATGTTGTACGGCAGAAAGTGCACTCTTCTTACCGACCATAAACCACTACTGGCAATTTTTGGATCAAAGTAAGGTATACCCGTCTACACAGCAAACAGGCTACAAGGTTGGGCTAGCATGTTACTAGGTTATGACTTTGAGATCAAGCACATTTCCACAAAGAACATAAATCAGGCTGATGCACTTTCACGGTTATTGGAAAATCAGCAACCTCAAAAGGAGGACTCCATCATCGCAGCGATAGCCTTAGAATTAGTAATGAACCAAGTGCTGTTAGAGACCCTTAGAAAGCTTCCGATTAATTTCGAGATGGTAAGTGCAGCATCATTTCACGATCCAATAAATCAACAAACGATAAAACATCACACTACACGGTGGCCGAAAGATAATCTTACAAGCGAGCTATAAAAGTTGTCCCGAAGAGGAACTATCAGTCGTTAATGGATGTCTGCTTCTAGTCGTTCGAGTTTTGATTCCAGTGATACATCGACCGCGAATTCTATGACAATTCCATCGAGATCATCCTGGTATCAGTAGGATGAAAATGATTGCTCGAAGTTTGATTTATCGGCCAAACATCGACGCCGAACTCGAGCATTTGGTGCAAACATGTTCACCGCGGAAAACAGACTTATATTCTTGGCCATCAGCGACCAAAACCTGGGAACGCATACATGCCGATTTCTTTGGCCCTGTCAACAGACAGCAATTCCTAATCGTTGTCGATCCTTACAGTAAATGGCCTCAGGTTTTCCGAATGGAGCATGCAACCAGTGGTGCAACAATCAACGCACTACGAACATTTGTCAGTCAGCATGGAATACCAGACACTCCGGTCACCGCCAATGGTTCACAAGTTACTTCCTACCAGTTTGCCGAATACTGGTCGCAAGTTGGTATTAGACATATACACAAACCCCCGTTCCACCCCCAATCCAATGGACAAGCAGAAGAATTCGTTGACGCGTTCAAAGGTACGCTACTAAAAATGCAGGAATAGGGAACTACACAGGAGACATTGGATATTTTCCTGCTTATGTACAGATCACTCCGAACCCTCAAGTGCCAAACAACGTGTCCCTCGAAGAGGCTCTCATGGGGAAGAAAATTCGCACAATTAACTCACTGCTGCTGCCGGGGAGCAGTGTCCCACAGAGCAGGAGTGTGAAAATGGAGAGGTATTATAATCAACAAAATAGAACCCAAGAACGTCATTTTTACGCAGGACAGAAGATCTTGGTCAGAGATTATCGCACGGATAAGCCGTTATGGACAACGGGCTTGATTCAGAACCAAATAGGAAGAGTGATCTACAAAATGAAGGTAGGGGATTTAATCTGGACCAGACATGCGAATCAGTTGAAACCTACTAGTGTCCGAGAAAGCACAGATAACCGATCTCAACCACTTGAGCTTCACCTAAACAATTTCGATATACACCTTAGTGCTACATGCGTGTCTAACGAGGAGAGCGCAACCGCGTTGGGAAAAACGAACTTGCACCCAAGGCGTTGTACTGATTGGATTCGAAGGCTAACTACGCGTCTACAGGTAAACTGACATTAATGTTGGCACGATTAACAGTTATTTTCGCGGGAGGAAGGTGTATTATCATAAGGGAACCCAGAGTGGCGAAATATCCAGGAAGTATAACTTGCCAAGTGCCAAGAGGATTGTTTGGAATTTTTGTAACTGCACCAAAACGGAACATGGAGTTGTTCAGAAAGCAAGTGTGTTATTTCACAACACAAAACCATGTTTTGTGTCGGAACAATACGTGCCCCCCATCCGAACACTGTGTTTTTGTATTATGGTACATTTGTTCCTGTCGCCTGTTCCACACAAAACCCACACCACTTGTGCCTCCGGGGTCCTATTTAACCAAATGTGAATTCGACTGTAACTGACTGGTTCTGGTGTGTTTCCTCCTGTTTTCGCCCGGTCTTTGTATCAATACACGTTGCGCTGTGGTCTTCGCTTACTGTGTTCTCAAGGCGGCATCAAGCGGATGCTCAGTCCTTCTCGGTAGTCGTAACAATGAGGTCGCAGGCATTTGATCCTTGACGCAGCCGCATTTCGGAAAGTTTGCTCAGTAAGCCTTTAGCATTGGTGCACACACAGGAAAGCTTCTCGGATGTCACATGAATGAGGTGGATTTGTGCTGATCGATGAGGCCAACACCCCATCGCTTTTTGAGTGAATTGCTAAATCTGGATAGGAACGCAATCTGTTTTTGGTCTTACGTGCACCTGCGGTATGTAGGCTATCGGCAGCCTTCTCTATAGCTACGGGTCTTAGCGCACAGGTTTCTGTATGGATGTTGTATTTATATAGAATCACGGGCGTTGACATTTTCTGCGAGAACAACGAGTGGCCTCGGTTCTCTAACTGCTGTTTTCCGAAGGAAGAGTGTTGCGTAGTAACTGTCAGCTACGGATTAAGTGCACGGCCATCTGTTGTGACTGCACTGTTACTTTTACTATCCTCGGACCACTGCCTGTAGTGAGCAAATAGAATCACAAATCCAAAAGCATGTAAGACAAACAAATTCGAAGATGGAAAGATCTTTTGAAAAAGAGTCAACAGACATGAGTGATAAAATGCAATGCAGACCACAGTTCACGACCAAATGGAGTTGTAAACAAACCTTTAGCTAAAGAACGAAGGAATGTGTTTTGTAAGTAGAAATAGCACATAAAGTAAAAAGCTAAGGTGGACCAAACTGGACGCTAGCATGGTTTGATGTGAAAAGTTACAAAAATGGTGATGAGCTTGGCATCCGATGATTGGAACTAGGATAGGCGCAGAAAAAGCGATAACGCAAGGTCTCAGTTTACCTACCATAAGGAAACATCCATCAGGAAAAGGAAACCTACTCTATTGTGAGTGAATAAAAGCCAAACTAGTTTTCCGTTCAAAACGAAAGAACCTGGGATCACGTTCACTTATTCAATTACGTAGGTTATCTGATGGTTAAAGACCTATGAAATGCGCAGCAAAACAGATTGGCTAAAATATCAAATAGACCAACCGATAAATCAAAATAAAAAGTATTTATGAAAGATAGCTCGCCAGGAGTGGTGATGAGTCGAAAGTCATGCTCACCGAGGACTTCAAGATATCAACAGCTTCACATTTGGATTTGAATGCCCTGCGCAATGCTTCATTTTCAGATCTCAAGACAACATTTTCCTGACAAAATGAATGAGGGTGTGATGCACGCACCATGGACACGAGATGAAACGATGTGTGTAATTGCTTCAACAATTCTTCACACGTTTTAGCAGTACCTGAAAGATATGAAGCTGGGTATGACAACGGCACGATGAACAGAGCGGGTATAAGTATGGAACATGCAAGGCAACCAATGACTTACTCGAACGTGAATTGATATGCAGGCAAATGAAGGAAGAATCGGGTTGGTTCAACCGGCAAGTTGGGCAGTCTAAGGTTGAACTTATTGGTGGGTTCAAGGAGCTGTCTTCGGACTCTATGGAACTAGCTAAGGATAAGATTTCATGTGGAAATGCACAGTTGACTCACAATTTTCTCGAAAGAACGTGGGGTTGAAGGTCAGCTGACTAGTCTCCATCATTTGTACGCAAAGCCGATCCACCCTCACGAGGTCAGCATCAGTGTGAGCTGCGTATTGAACATTGACTGAATAGCAACAGTGCGTTTGAGAAAAGCGGATGTGAGCAGCGAAAGCAACCACTACAAAATATAGGTCAGGCAGGATTAGCTAATATAGGTAGAGACGTTGAATTCCGATGAAAAATCTGCCATCAATTAATATAAAAGAGGTATGCGCTGTGAGCACTTAACTATACTCTCAGCAAGGTGCCCACCCACAACTGTACAGCTCCTGAACGGAGGCAATGAACAGATCGCCCCTGCATATCATGGTTAAGTCACGCGCTGACCCAAATATGCACGATTATAGCAATGGGGAGACATAATAATTTCAGGAGGCACAAGCGCAGGCACGAGTTCGGTGTCTTGACAGACATGCCACTGAGGAATATAAAGCCGCCGTAGTTTATAGCAGTCGTAACCGGAGTTTACTGGTCATTTAACGGTGAACACCTACTGAACGCCTGCGACTGCAGACAGACAATGATTGACTCATGTTAAATCACCTAATCTCATGCACAGCGCATTTAAGGGGTATACTCGACAGATTTATAAATAAGATGCAAGCGGATGGGGCCATGAGATATTCGGAGGTGCACAAATTTTGCAATGCTAAGGATATCAAACTCGTGGAACCATGCATCCTAGAAGTGCCTAGAAGACTGTGAACCTTATTCAGCCCGTAACAAGCAGCAGTTGCCTGGAGCCAGAAAAAAAAGTAGCGAGGTCAAATGATTAGGCATGTTGTCAACATTCATGCGGAACGCAACAAGAGCAGAGTTAATTGCAAAATCCGATTTCAGCAAAACAGTTGAAGCAGAGTGAAAACATTGGGAGTATTTTTCAAGCAGCCAATAGTCCTTTGAATACTGTAAGTTCACGTACTGCATTTTAACATTGCATATATGACGGATGATTTGCAGTTCTATAGAGCTGAATAACAATGATCAGACTGCCAAAGTGTGACATCCAACAAATGTGACTGGTACTCTCACTATAATAGAAAGTTTAGTTCCGGCGAATGGGAAGAGAGGCGAGAACGTAGAAAACTTAAAAGCGAAATAAATAGAAATCGGAGTAATTATACAAAAGCTACGAGCAAAATCCAATAGATCGAATGCAAGAGAGGGTCATGTTGGTACGGGTCCCAATTCGTTAGTGCGGCAAGCACTGGGTAGTCCAAGTTCTTCGGACAATTTGTTCATACAGTCTTGCCATATCATTTGCTGACCAACCAAATGCTTCAGCCAACCAAACAAACAACATAAGCCGGATAAGAGAAATGAAAGCACGCACCTTACGTAGTTGGATAAAGCGGATTCAACAACTCTTACTATGATCATGCCAGTGCAGGAGTGCCGCGCTTAGTCGAGAATACAAATTTATTTATTTATAAAAAAATTAAGGAAACTTTAGTGCTGGCTGGTCATCTGAATGATCAACTTGGAAAACTGTCCAATAATAAGCTGCATCAGTGATCAACACGGCAAAGGCTTCATTATGGACAACGGTGAGCGGTTTTTTCATTTGTGTGAAAAGAAGTGTCCATTTCTTGCCAGCGCTAAATTCCCACACAACACTCCCCTTGCGGGAATGTATGGTGCAACCCACCTTCGGATCAGCAATGTGAATCGACCACATTGCGATCAGTTACTGGTGGAGAGCCTGCGTTCAGAATTGCCACTCGATTTGAAGCCCGAACAGGGACTCCGACCATACACTTGAATATACTAATGCGCGAGTGCGCTTCGGTGGAGTCCGCGACGACATTGCGAACGTACAGGCACTTATTGACAGGTGAAGTTGCCGGTTCGGGATGCGTATTAAGGTGCTTTGAACCCAAATGAAGAGTGCCAGTCACATGTTCATCAGATGTTATTAACATGGGATATAGCTACGTGTGGCAAACGCAAATGCGAGCATTAGTGATGATTCTCCATGCAGTCTCTCGAACTCACCAGTCCATTCCGGAGGACATAAAATACAACGAGACTCGTAAAGACCTGAGTAAAACTGAGTGTTAGCCTTAAGAGATAACTGGAAACTTAGTGGTATCATCATGAGTCACAGATGGTATCGGTAGCCATCGAAAGTTATTTCGTCTCATATTAGAAACGAGAAGCAGTAGACCTCGTGTTAGCGAAACTGTATGCAACAAGATGGGATACCCAGTCTGCAACCTGTCAAAATGCCTGCAGAGTTGGGCAGAGGACTTCGAAGAGGAATTTTACTGGCCAGATTTACCAACCTCCTTGTGCGTCGCTAGTTGACCTGGTTTTTGGAGCGTCCTTCTAGATCAGGGGTTACCAATCCCAAGGTAGTTACCCCCAAAGGGGTAAAATGGCATTTTACTAGGGGTAAATATTAGTACGAGGATTGGGTCATCAATCAGTCGCAAAAGAAGCTTGATAACAAAAGCATATTTATCAAAACATGTCGCTAACTACCTGTGCACTTTTGATTAGCCATCAGTAACCAGTCATTAGTCACTGCAAGTAGGTGACGCTTCTATCGGCTCCCGCAACTATCGTTATTCTTTAGTCAGACAGTCGTTTGCCGGGTCGAATTTTGGAGTCGACTGCAAACTAGTATTGCAGCATTGGTAAAACGACCAGTAAGATAGAGCGCGATTATTTACAAGTTAGAAGGGTCAAAACGGACGATTAGTCTTCACTACGTATCGATACAGAGTGGTGGTGGGAAGCCATCATGCAGGAAGGACTTGCAATGGAAGAATGCAACACGGGAGAAGCCACTGACATCCGTCCATGTTTGATCAGGAAGTACACACAAAAGGGTGGTGTCTTGAATGGAGATAACGGCAGGCGTTTGAAAGTGGAGAGAAACCCTACGTTTGGGGTCACAACCAAGCCAGAAACAGCAGATTGGACGCCAGTGATAAATAGATGTTGGGTTGATCACATTCATCTGCAGTTGTTTTTGACGAGAAGCCATAGCAGGTGAATGATTTAATTCAAAGGTTTTGAGATCGATAATAATGAGGTTATTTGAAGGATGTCTGTGAGTAACGTAAGTTTCATAGACGGCAGAAGTCACGATTAAACTCCAGACGAAAATCTGTCTCGACGGGGAATCGAACCCCGGTCCACGAATTTCCGGACCGGAGTTCGATTCCCCGTCGAGGCAGATTTTCGTGTGGAGTTTAATCGTGACTTCGGCCATCTATGAAACTTACGTTATTCACAAACATCCTACAAATAACCTACCATCGCCCTTTGGACTTCGGATGGACAGTTACTTCGGTCCACTGGGAAGTGACGAGTGAGTGAGCCGATCTGCAACACCAGGACAGTTACTGTGAGCTGATTGGCAATACGTCGCGCACCAATCAGAAGTCACGTGTTAAATTCCGCACCTAATTATCAGCCCTCGGAAACTCAGTGGTACATCAGCGGACCGGAAATTCGTAGACCGGGGTTCGATTCCCCGTCGAGGCAGATTTTCGTGTGGAGTTTAATCGTGACTTCTGCCTTCTACGAAAAATAATGAGGTTATCTGTAAACGTTTACAATAAGGTCACCTATATTAAATCACGAAAATATCCATATATATATATATATATATATACATATATATATATATGTATATATATATATATATATATCATGTAGCACCAGCTACCTAATTTTTTGCAGGAGCAATATCTTCTGGAGAAAAGCGTCATACAACGAAGTTTTCGTCAATGGGGCTTTAACAATTTTAGAGATAAAAATGTTGAGAAATCGTAGTTCGTTTTGTGTTGCAAAGTGCGCATGGCCACATCGAACGAAGTCATTCTCAGTTGGTAGGAAAAACATTAGATATTTCAAACGGAAAGAAGTTGCGATAAAAAGTTCGCGCCTGAATACATCGGGCTCCTTTTTTCAGTCAGATGAAGCTGGTCTTGAAGCTTCGTACCGCATCGTTCTTCGAATCACCAAAAACGAGAAACCGCATAATATAGGAGAGGATCTCATCAAACCTTACATAATGGATGCCGTAAAGTTCGTTCTTGGCGAGAAACACGCGGAAAAGCGTGAGCAAGAACGCTTTGAACACGGTGCTCAACGAAGTGAAGTGAAGTCCTTTCTTCGTAATGCAGTTAGATGAGTCGACCAAAGCCGCATCTTGTTCGAGTTACTTGTCTAGTTTCGATACAGAAAAGGCGACGGCTTCGAAGAAGAGTACTTGTTCTCAGAAGCATTGAGTACAACTATACATGGCGAAGACATCTTCAGAACAGTGAAGGATTTCGTCGAGGAAAATGATCTACAGTGGTCGAAGTTGGTGGGTGTCTGTACAGACGGAGTACCATCCACGTTAGGCGTCCGTTCTGGATTCCAAACATTAGTCAAAAAATTTGCTCCGCACGCTACCTTTAGCCACTGCATCATACATCGTTATGCTTTAGCGGTGAAAACTCTTCCACCTGCTTTGCTGGACGCGTTAACCAAGGTAGTGAAAATAGTAAATGTCATCCGCGGTAGAGTGGCCCATACAAGAGATTTCAGAGTTACGCCATGAAGTTGGAGGAAAATTCGACGTGCTGTTATTGCACACAGAAGTACGTTGGTTATCACGAGGCAGGGTGTTGCACCGAGTGCTCGAAATTCGAGAAGAAATTACAATGTTTCTTGAAAGGAAGGAGATGCATAAGTGTAAGGGGAACGGGTTACACGTCATGATAACAGATAACGTATTTATTTCCAAACTAACATATTTGGTGGATTACGGATAAATAAGTTGAACCTCAGCTTGAAAGGAAATATGATTAATATTTTAACTGCTCAGCAAAAGGTTGACAGTTTTCTTCGCAAACTGCAGCTTTACCAACACAGAGCTAGGGTTGACGATGTGTCGATGCTTCCAGAACTAACAATGGTGCTCGCTGGAAGAAACGAAACATGCGCTTTCACAGATAATATAACTTGCCACTTGTCATCAGTGACCCATTCCATCATC